CCCCGGGTAACGAGTAGAGCGCACGGGCAAGCCGCTACCACCAGCGCTGGCTCCAATTAGCTGGAGAGGGGCTAATCACCTCCTCGGCATTGGGCCCGTAACGAACCGGGATACAGATTTCTCCGAGCAGGAGGATCAGTTCTTAATTACAGGGCCACTTCCCGAGCGTGGGCTTCAGGCTGCTCTTTAGCAGCGTACGAGGGAAAAACGTGAACTGCTTTTACATCATACATTCCTCCTCCAGATTTGCCTACTGCCACGGCACCCAGCGTGCTCCGCAAGCAGGGTACGCGCAAGAAACGCTGCTCACTCGCCAAAGCAAAGTTAAAGATTAAGACAGAGAAAGCAAAAAGGATGAGCAAGGTGGAGTTAGATGCCGGTTAATTGTAATAAATATACTTGCCTAATTGAGAGTAAGGCGTTCCTTGTGTCTCAAAAGTGCACCCTATAAAGAGATACTACATTTCACACATCACAGCCAAGACACAACAACCACCTGAACAACACTCACGAGCACGGAACCATTAACCAACCAGCCAGCCGGCCACGGGAGGCCTGATTCATTAAAAGCCAGAGAGCGCGGAGACGGGTCGCAAACGCGACCCATGAGCTTGAGGGTGGACTGTTGGTCGATTTAGGGAGCCTCACCTCTGGGAAGCGTGGAGCATCTGCTCATTTGAGGCCAGATCCCATCACAGCCTTCCAGAGCATCAAGTCTGATCGCTGCCTGCTCGGGATGCCAAATCACTGGACTTCCCTCCAGAAAACGGGCATGATATTTTAGCCTTGGCAGAGCATCTTGGCCCCTTGGTAAATATTCTTTAGATTGACCCTCTGTTGAATCACTTATTAAAAAACCAAACCACTCCTTGGTGGAGTGATGAGGAAGAGCAGCCAGCGGCGTGGCCAGTGAATCAGCCCTCCCGGGCTGCCTCCCCTGCCGTGTGTGCGGTCTGGGGAGGAGCAGAGCCAGAGAGGGGGTCCCCGGGGGCAGACGCTTGGCCTCAGACCCCCGCCAGCACCCGAAGGGCACCAGGCCGTGCCTTCGACCCCAGGCAGGATGAGTCGGGGTGCCCTTCATCCTCCTGTGACCGAGCTGTGCCTGGCCGCTGGCTGCAAACACCTCCTGGGAGCCTGGGGACCGGCCCAGGGGCTTGTCCTCACCCAGGAGCTTCTCCTGGCCGAGAGGAGAGGGCAACATGAAGCCCCACGTTGGCACGGGAAGGCGTTCGTGATGGGGGCTGGATTTTAAGGAAACCCCTGTCTAGCTCGGCGAGGTTTTCACCTCTCCTCTGGCCGCAGCCGTGCCCT